AAGAATACCATTTTAATATAATTCTTGGGGAGAACTATGGCAAGTATGCAGCTAACTCAGGGTTATGGAGTCTGCTAATAAGGCCAAGGACCTAAAAGTTTGCAGTGGAGACGCTGAGTCCCTTTACGCATCTAGAGCTACGTTATAAGCACTGATAACAAGGTTCACCCTGAAGATGATGAATAATTAAAAATAATTTTAATGTAGTTCTGTGCCCACCTCCATTGAACGAGGGACAAATACATTGGAGAGAGAAACTGTAGGAAAGGTACCCACTAATGTACAATATCCATGAATTTATCTGTTGAATTTGCATAGCTTTTACTATGGTATAGAGCAACAACTCCCAGTAAAGGTTACTGTGATGGACAATTAAACTTGTGAAAGTTTTTTGACTTGTTCTTCAACAAGCACTGATCCCTCTCTGAGAGTAAATTCTTGTCTCCAGCCATTACCTGGCTTGCTTTAGCATTGCAAATCAACACACAACCCACACCTGTCACTAAGTTTTCCATATTTTCAGTTAATCAGGCATGATGATTTCTTTTCCTTCTGTTCTCTTTCTTCCATTGGTATGGTTGACTATTGTCTTTGCACTCCTTGACTCTGGAGTCTTTTGTATCTCTTCCACCTGACCTGTCGACCTTGCAAACACCAGACCTAAATCATCCCCAAACATCTAATTTCTCCATTACTGCTGTGTTTATAGTGAATATCCTATGACCAGGCTGACTTATACAAATACAGTATTTCCTCTTTCACATCTGTCATAATCCTAGGGAAACGGCTGTATTTCCAATTTACTCAAATCCCACAGCTGCAATCTCAGGCCTTTATTTATTTATTTATTTATTTATTTATTTTGGTCATCCTTGACTCACTCCTCAAAACCTCCTCTTCACCCATTTCTCCTTCTGTCTCTGCGCAGGATCTTTTCAAGATTTTTAAAAACAGTTTGACATTATGTAATATGATCTTTTCTCCCTCCCTTTGGCTCACCTTTCTTACCCATTCAGACTCCTAAAAAGCTCTGTTCTTTCTTCCTTGTTTTAGATCCAGAAGTTTTTCTCACCTGATTTTCTTCATTTAACTCCCTCCTCCTTTTTCTGGTCATCACATCCTATCCCTTCTCCTGCTGTCCCTTGCACCCACAATTAATCCTTTCATCATTTTTTTTTCCTTAACTGCTCGCTTTGTCAGAGCTGTGCCAAAGTGGGTTCTTTTGGCTTGATGGCCAAAACAAAAAACAAATTTGTTTGCATTAACACAAATTGGGAATTGATTTTTGGACCTTTTGGATGAAATGAAAACACCCAAAGTATTTTGTTTCAGATAAAATGAACCACGTTGTTTCATTTTTAGGTTATTTAACCCTTTTGAAAACCTTAAAACTCAATTTCTAAATGAGAGCCCTGTTTTGAAAGAAAAAAATGTTTTGTTTTGAAACATACTGAAACAAAACCTTTCAGTGTTTCTAAATTCTTTCCCCTACTTTTTAGACCAAATAATTAGCTGAAATGGACTTAAATTTGTGTAATGTTTTGGTACTTGGAATCCTCATTTTTTCTGTTAAAGTAGCATTTTCTGCTAATTTAATTCAGCAGCAAATACTAATTTTTCTGAATTTAAATTAGCAGAAAAATGGTGACAAAATGGACCTATCTCTGTTTTCCCCTCATAATATAAAAAGGCCTATCCCATCTAAAAAAACCCCACATTATCTCTCCAATTTGTGACCCATTTCTCTCCTCCCTTTAATCTCTGACTTAAAGCAATATCTTCTATTACCACCTGGAATTCCTCCAGATGTACCACAGATCCTCTAGCTTCTGTCCTTGCACTCAACTGAAAGTGCTTTTGCCAAAGGCTTTTATGACCATGTCTTAATCAAAACTCTGAGCTAGTACTGTATCTTTACCTTCTTTGACCCACCAACTGCCTTTGACACAGTCAACTGTGTTCTTGAAATCTTGGATTTTGTTACTCTGACCTCTCCTGGTTCTTGTACCTCTGCAATTGCTCTTCTTGTATCCAAAGGAATCCTTGTCATTTTCCCCATTATATTTTTGGTGGAAGTTCTGCTGGGCTCTCCCTAGGTTTCCTTCTCTTTTCTTTATACATTTTATCTCTGGATAATCTCAGCTTCAGTGTGTTATCAGGTGAGCCAATTCAGATGACAACTACTTTGGCATTTTGGGCAGTCTTGGTAAGGTTGTTACCCAGGTAAGGTTGTTGCACTCTTTGTGGCCGTGTCTATATTGCAAAATTATACCATGTTTGAATACAATTATGAAGAATTGACTTGATTCTGCCTGGTTGCTGTAGAACTGTTCAGCATTGTGTTGACTACTCATATTAAACTCTGGTCCCAACAAAATAAAATGACAAATAAACATAGTATGGAAAATTAAATGTAGTTTTAAAAGCGATGAAAAATTGTTCTTGTTCTTCACACCTGCAGTGGTAAGAGCACATTATAAAACCATGCTGATCCAAAGCTGATATTATCCTTTCTTTGTTGGTTAATACTTTTGGAGTGTACAGTGTATGTAGTACATGCTGGAATTGAGTTATCTTTCCAGTTTTATAATTTGTTCTTTATAATTAAGAAACAGGGCTTTCTTTTTATGTGTATACCAAAGAAGTAAAGTTTAAATGAAATTATAACATACTTTGGAGCTCTTTTTTTTTTTTTTTTTTTGCTGTATAATGAGCATTGGGAAAAATTGTCAAGAATTTAAAATGCAGAATTGCATAAACAGGACTCATTGGGGTGTGAGGGTTTGTTTGGCCCTCTAGCAGGGAGTACATTTGCTAACACCTCTGTATATTGAGCTATAAGGCACTGCATTCTTCTTAGATAAGTTTCATCCCAACTTGAAGCTTTGCTATGGTACTTACATTTAGTTTGCAGTACTGTTTCCATTTAAGTACAAGTAGGATAAGAAGTTCCTTCCAAATGCAGTCTCTAGATAACTGTGTACTATTAATTGGGCTTCCACACTGCATTTGCATGTTAAACAATAAATTAATTGTTTTTAAAACAAATTCTAACCTAGAAACTGCACAACTTGGGTCCCAGGCTCAATTTTAGCCTCCCATGTGTACCAGCAGTTGTTAGAAATTCCATAGGTATGTTGAACCCTGAAGAAGCAGTTATTTCGGGTAACTCTTCTTCCGCCCTGACACCTGAAATAATAATGTGGCCAGACTCTGAAAGCAACAAGCTTCAAACCATTTTTGAAGAAAAGGTGAGCATAATGGAGGGCTAATCCGGGGGGGGGGGGGGGGGAATTCACCCCCCCCCCCCCTTTTACCCCACCCCCCCACCCTGTTTCACCCAAACTTTAAAACCAAGTGCCTGGGAGGGACAGCAGCTTTTCTACTTGGGCAATGCTGAAGAGGTTCCGTTGGCTTCATGGCTCATTATAATGTACTTGATTCCTGCTAATCTCCCTTTATGCCAAAGATGTTAACAACCCTCTCTCCTTTTTAATGGTCTTGATCAAGTTATCCTTTCTTCTGCAGTTTTGCTGTCTTTTTGCCATTCCTGGTAATATCTCTCTGGTCTGCAGACTGTTTTTAGTTCTAGCTAAAAACCTTAACTCAGGTGTGGTAATATTAACTCAGATATACATTTACTCAGGTGTAGAAATGAGTAACAGTGAAGTGTTGAATACACTGTCAAGATGCTCAAGGAGGCTGGATTTTGTATTACAGGTCTGAATAAGAGATGTATATTTAAGTATAATGGACTACAGGACTAATAAAAAAAAAGGGGTATATTTTGACTATTTTTGCCTAGTTTTTTGTGGTTTTCAAACTTAACGTATATTCTAGCAAAATAGTGTACATTCCAATCAAGTTGTATCTTGTTTTTCTTTGATCTTAAACTGAATAATATAGTTCTGGGCCCCTAGCATATTAGTAAATCTAGTTTCTCTTTAACTGGAGAAAAATGTGTTGCATTGATGCCTCTCACCATCTGTACCTCCTTTCTTAAAATCCTAGATCCATCCATAAGCATAATTTAGGGGCACTGTGGCAGAAGTTTAAAGGGTTATATTGGGGGTTCTACATTCTCTTCTTAGCCTTCTAGCAAATAGTTTAGTCAGTTGCCAAAATTAAGTTCAGGATCCTGTTTTCATAGGTGTAACTACATGTACAGAGTTTGGAAGACCCCAGGGAGATGATAGTAACCTATGGGGGCCAGAAAGGAAACACATTGTAGGGGTGGAAAAAAAGGTTATCTGTGCAGCACCTGCTAGGGAGAGGACATGATGGTGGCTGAGAGTACACATCTTCCCAAAACTGCCGTGGTTCCTCCCCAGCAGGGATCATATTTGAGAACACTCGGAGATAACTGCCTACCCTCATTTGAGTCACCACTTTCTCTGTCCTGCCCAGAGCACAGAGGCAAGTTACACTTGTGTGTGACTGGTTCAATCTGCCATGTTACACACACTTCCTGAAAGAGT